AGGGGGGCTCTGCCTCTTCCTACAGGAGGAATGTTGTTTCTATGCTAATGAGTCAGGGGTGGCCCAAGAAGCTCTGACCCAATTACAGGAACGAGTACATCGTCGGTGGGAAACACTCCAGCAGAAAACTTGGTGGGATACCCTCTCACAGTGGTTCCCTTGGTTCGGCCCCCTCCTGTTGCTTCTCCTCATAGTGGCATTTGGTCCTTGTATTCTTAATGCCCTTATTGGGTTTATTACTACTCAAACTGCTAAAATCAGACTCCAGTTACTCCTTATTCACTACTGCCCCTTAGAAGATGAAGATGATGCCCTCAAAACTAGGTGTTTAAAGGGGCATCAAAGGGGGGAAGGATAAGGAAAACCTATGTCCTAAGATGGCTGACTGAGCCAGAGAGAGTTCCAGTCCTTGCCCTGGGGCTCTCCCGGGTTCTTCTCCCTGCTCTGCTTCCTGCGCCCACCAATCCAGGTTCTTCTCCCTGCCCCGCTTCGCGCATGCACCAAAAGTGCCAAGTATGCAGAAGGAGAAGTGTATAAATTGCCCCCTTTGTTTGTGCTCGGGGCTCAGACCTTTGGAGACCACCCTCCTCTGAGCCCACTGGCATTAAATAAACCTCCTATCCTCCAAGATCTCCGGGTGCCGCTTGGTTCTTCCATCGGGAGATCCAGTCCAGGTTCCGTAACAATCACAATGAAATAAAATGAAATGAAACTGGAAATCAATAGAAATATTAAATAAAACAGACAAGGCACTAGCTAATATAATCACGAAAAAATGGGAGAAAGCACATATACACAAAAAGAAATGGCAGAGCAATAAAGATGTGGTATTTATATATAGTGGACTATTACTCAGCCATCAAAAAGAATGAAATCTTGCCATTTGCGATGATGTGACTGGAACTAGAGGGTATTATGCTAAGCAAAGTAAGTCAGCCAGAGAAAGACAAATACCATACAATGTCACTTGTATGTGGAATTTAAGAAACAAAACAGATGAACATAGGGGAAGGGAGGGGAAAATAAAATTAAGATAAAAACAGAGAGGGAGACAAACCATAAGAGACTCTTAACTCTAGGAAGCAAAACAGGGTTGCTGGAGGGGAGGGGGGTGGGGGGATGGGGTAACTGGGTGATGGGCATTAAGGCAGGCACTTGACATAATGAGCACTGGGTGTTATATGCAACTGATGAATCACTAAATATTACTCTTGAAACTAATAATACATTATATGTTAACTAAATTGAATTTAAATTAAAAATTTTTTAAATGACAGGGCAGAAACAAATATTCAAATAGAGGAAATTTAAAGAAAAAAAAATCTCAAAAGAGTATTCTAGACAATTGTATGCATAAAAAAGTGAAAGTCTAGATACAGTGGGTCGTTTCCTAGGAAAACACAATGTATTAAAATTGATCCTAGCAGACAAAAGAAAAGCTTGGGCAGGCCAATTTCCATAGAAAACACTGAGAAAACGGTTTTAAAACTCCACCACAAAAAAAGCACCCAGCACCCAATAACATCAAAAATAAATTCTACCAAACTGAAAAACCAGATAATCCCAATGTGACTTGAATTGTTCCAGGGCATTAAAAAAGCAGAAAAATGTTCACATTCCTTGAAGTATAGCATTTATATGTAAACCTGATAAAGGAAGACCAAAAAAACTATCAACCAATCTCCCATAGACAGATCCAAATCCTGGTAAAATGCCAGCATTTAGAATGCATCAGCACATTAAAAAGAAATGCATGGATGATTTATATTTTAAAAATCCAATAAATCACCATAACAAACCTAAGGAGAAAAATCCTGTAATTATATCTGCATACTGAAAAGGCCTTTCACAAAATTCTATACCTAATCATGATTTTTGAAAACTAATAGTAAAATGGTCACTGATGGATCTTTCATTAACATCATTCCTGAAGCCAGAACCCCACCCCCCAGCAATGAAGCTTCAGGTCATCCCACCACAGTCAGCCTCAAGGAGAAATGGCCACCAATGCCACCGCTGATTAATACTGTACTGGAAGTATTGGCCGGAGAAGCCAGAGAACAGAAAGCAACTGGATGCCTAAGGCTTGAAAAAATAAGTATCTCTAGCTATGGATGATAAAGTGTTTACCTAAAAAAATTAAGAGAATCAATTATAAAACAAATGCAAATAGGAGAATTCAGTAAGCTGACAGAATATAAAACACAAGAGTTTTCATTTAAACAAACACCCAGTTAGAAAACAATGGAACAGAAAATACTTTCCCATATCAGTGGAATAGCCACAAATGATAAAATACTTTGGAATACTGTTAACAACAAGAAATGTGCAAAATTTATCTGAGGAAAAACGTAAATCACTTCTGAAGGACATAAAAAGCAAACGTGAACCAATGGAAATACATCATTTATTCTTGAACAGACTGACTCGGCATCATGAAGATGTCCATTTTCTCCATGTTAGTATTTAAACTGAACGTGGTATCAATGAAAATACCCTTTTCTTTCCAGGACACAGAAATTTTGATTCCAAAGTTCATATGGAAAAATAAACATGAAAGTAGCTAAGGAAACTTGAAAAAATAAGAGTTAGGGAAGTCAGACTTACTAGATATCACAACCATAATCCGGTTCTAGAACATCTCCATCATCTCCAAAGTTTCTGTGTCCCTCAGCAGTCCCCTCCATCCCTAAGGACCACTGGTCTGCTGACAGTGCAGATCTGTTCTGTCGAGACTGGAATTTCCCAGAAACGGAATCATATAATATACACGTACTCTGCTGTGTCTGGCTTCTTTTGCTCAGCATGTTTCTGAGGTTCATTCATATTGTTGCACAGATCCATAGCCTTGTTCCTTTTCCATGCTGAGTAGTATATTCCATCGCATGCATACCCCATTTTTATAAATCCACCTGTTGATAAGCACTTGGGTTGTATCCAATGTGGCTATTATTACTAAAGCTCCTACAAACATTTGTGTACCAATCTTTTTGTGTAAAGATTTTCATATCTCATTAGTAAATAGCTAAAAGAGAAACTGCTGGATAATACGGTTAAGTGTTTTTTAATATTAAAATAACTGCCAAACAATTGTGTCACATCTGTGTAAACATTTGTTTAATTTCAGCTCTTCAGATCAATATGGTGCCATATCTCACCATGGTTCTAAACTGCACTTAACTGATGACTGGTGGTGTGGAGCTTCTCTATGTGCTAATGGCTACCACTCTATATTCTTCTGTGAAGCATTCAAATCTTCCACCTAATTTAAAAGTTGGGCTGTCTCTTACCTACTGAGTGATAATAGTTCTTCACATATTGTGGACAAAGTCCTGAAACGAGGTTGCATTATTATAAATATTTTCTTCCAGCCTAAGGTTTGCCTTTTCTTTTGCTGAACAATGCTTTAAAAATGCAAAATTTCTGAATTTGATGACATCCAATAATCTATTTCTTTCTTGTAGTGTTTTTTGTGTCCTAAGAAATCTTTACCTACCTATGAAAATATTCTAGTCTACCAAAAAATAAACTATAAAATCAGTAAATGATTTAGCCAGGCTGCTAGATTATGAGATAAATACACAAAATTCAAATGTATTCTTACACACACATATATATATACACAGAAGTAGCTTCTATGTGTGCTATGTATAGTATGTATAGCAATTTCCTTATAAATACAGAAATACACATTTATATATTATTTACACATTTCTGTATATGCCAAATACTAGCAATGAAAAATCAGAAATTAAATTTTCAAACAATAACATTTCAAATATATAATATACAAATGAATAATTTTAACAAAATATATGCAAGCCCAGTTCACTTAAAACCATAAAACTTTGTTGAGAGATATAAGTGAAGGCCCATCTAAATGGAGACATATTTGCCATGTCTGTGGCTTAGAAGACTACATCGTTGGATGTCAGTTGTCTCCAAATCAATCTATAGATTCAATGTCATCAAAATTCCAGTAGGTAGTTTTAAAGAAATTGACAAGCGTGCTGTGATGAGCACTGGCTATTTATACGCAACTAATGAATCGTTGAACACTACATCAAAAACTCATGATGTAAACTATATGTTGACTAACTGGACAAAAAAATTTTTTTTAAAGAAATCCATCTGTTTTTGAAATAAGAAAATGCTGGAGGTCATGACTTACAAGTCTACAGCCCATGAGAGCCTGTGTCTGTCCTTAGAGTGGAAATGGACTCACACATCATGTTGGTATTCTGACAACGGTGCTGATGTAATTCAGTGAAGAAAGGATGGCCTTTCCTACAAATTCTGGAAACCCATTTGTAAATAAAAATGAACCTCGATGCTGACCTTGCACACACATATAATTTAACTTTAAATGATCTACATGTAGCATCTCCAAATAATCCCTGGGTGAGAGAAGTCACATGAAGCTGAGCTGAGGTGCCAGGTTTTTACCCGGACACCCAGTGGGATGGTTGGCAGCTCAGCCCCTGTGGCTGCAGGCAAAACTGAGGTTTCCCCTGTGGTGGGCGGTGGGGTGTTCCCAGTTCCCAGGCCCCCCACAACAGGACAGCCAGTGGGGGGTTCACGTGAGTGCCCCCCAGGCCTCCAGTCTCTGACTTCGGCGTCCAGCCACTGCCTTCAAAGCACTCACAGTGTGGCCACCGAGATCATTTCTCTTTAGCTGTGTAACAAACTTCTCATAATGCTTGTAGATTTGACCATTTCTCCTTGAAATTCCACAAATTTTGTTCTATATGTGTTTAGGCCAATTTTAGCCTTGCTCTATCTTCCTTGGAGGCTAATCTAATTATTATTACAAAGTTCCCCCCTGATATCTAGTGATGACTGTCATCTCAAAGTCTTCTGGTCTAACGTTAATAGCTTATCAGCTTGCTTTTAGTTAGCATCTCCAGGGCATCGTTTTCCGTCCTTTTCGTTCCAAACTTCGTTAAGTGTTCTGGGTTTTGGGCTTTTTTTAAGATTTTATTTTTAAGTAATCTCTACACCCAATGTGGGGCTCGAACCTACAACCCTCAGATCAAGAGTTGCACACTCTACCCACTAAACCAGCCAGGTGCCCCAAGTGTGGTTTTAGGGTCTTAATTTTTAGGGCTGCAGTAACAAATTGGGTGGCTTAAAAAACTAAAAATTTATTCTCTCACAATTTCAGAGGCTAGAAGCCCAAAATCAGGTGCCAGCAGGGCCCTCTCCCTCTGAAGGCTCTAGAGTTTTCCTTGACTTGTCTGCCCCTGTGTGCACCTGGCCTTCTCTGTATATCTGTGTTTTCTCCTCCTCTTAGGAGGACACTACTCATTGGACAGAGGGCCCAGTCTAAATCCAGGATGATTTTACCTGAACTCCTTACCCGGACACCATTTCTAAATAAGGTCACAATCTGAGGCTCTGGGTAGATGTGAACTGGCAGGGGGAGGGGGCGGAGAGGGTAGCCTATTCCACACCCTACTGGTGTACGTACAGAGCTAGCGATCTCCAAATCTGAGTTCAACCTTGGTAGGGGGTTGATCCTGCTCCATTGCCCTACAGGGCAACACCAAGAAAATGAGTGCTTCCGGCAAAACCTGCTGTCCTCTGGTCACATAACACTCCACTAGGGTGAAGGACGCCAGCAGCGTCTGGGCCCTTGTGCTGAGGTTGATGCTCAGAGGTCCTGAGCCCCCGGACTTCCCATGTAGGCATCAAGCCTCGGGATGTGGAGGTGCACCTTGCAGCCTCTGCCCAGCCACCGAAGCCTCCCTGCTGACATAAAAATGGCATCTTCAGAATCCAGGCAGGCTTGGGCCATGGCGGGCTTTCCCTCTGTGGGAGGAAGTAGCTTCCCGTTGTCCTCAGACCCTTGCCACGTGCAAGGACGCTGGAGAAGGGCACCCTCTGAGCAACCAGGAAAGGAGTTCCCGTGCTACACAGGTACCATCACACGCAGTGGAGCCCACTGCCGTGGCCCCTCCGCCAACTGGAACATCCCTGCTCAGGGGTGGACCCCACGGTTGGTGCAAAGGGCCCTGGAAGTGCCCGCTAAGGACCAGCAGCAGACGCCCGCCGACGCTCTCGGGCCACTGCCGGTGCTGCATCCACGGGGCCAGAAACAAAGCTTCTCATCCCAAATTCTCCCTCTTGGTGAAGACTCAGGAAGGCTTGCCTCCCAGAACCCCCAGACACAAATGGCAATCATACATGTCTCTGCACATATCAGACACCCCATCCCCTTTGGAGACCCACACATACCCACAGTGACCGGGCACTCACTGCACTTCTTGAATACACGCCGCGGAGCTCCCGAATGAGCCAGACAAGAGAACTCGCCCTCAGGTTCCAGCCTTAGCAGGCGGCCCCCAGAGCCCCACACGTCTGGCTGCCTTCCACAAGCCCGCGCTCGAGGACATAAAACGTGCACATTTCCGCCATCAGCCTGAAGGCAGAATTACAGCAAAGTCACCAGAAGGGAAGCTTACTGGAGTCCGACTCTGTCTTTGATGTTTGGTGACGGACAGCTCTCTGGCCTGCCCATCTCACCCTCCGTTCCACATGCGGGCAAGCGGATAAAGGCCACCCACGGAGAATTCAAACCACAGCAACCCGGCCCACGCAGGAGCCCTCCCTCCATCCCACCCAACCACAGGAAGAGCCGGCCACTCACTCCCCCTGCTGCCTCTGGCCGTTCAGACCCGCCTCCTGGGAGCCTCCGTCCTGAAAGCCTGGTGATGTGACAAACTGCCTTCTCAGGGCTCATGTGGCTTCATCACTCGTGATAATCAAGCCAAATTTGGGGTCAGGGTTGATCCTGCCCCTTTGCTCTTAGGACTTCGAGGCTGCATGCTCTTTCATTTCTCTTCTGGGAGTGCGGGGAGAGGTTCCTCCTTGTAGACGTCACTGCCCATCACTACGTAAATGGTCCCAACAATTCAAGGAGCCTGGGCTGCTGAGTTCCTCATAACCTTCTCCTAACGTAAATGCTAACGCCGTTTCTCTTCTGCGTGTAGTTTAAAAGCCACAAGACGCGGCTCCTGCTGTTTTACAGTCGACGCCCTCAGATCTCCTCGTCCCCAGCGCGGCTCATCGGCCTTCCGCTTCGTGTCCCACGCGTGTTCTCAGCAGTGCTGTGGCTGCTGCTAATCCTCCATGTCACCTGAGATGCCTTCACTCCCCTTCACTCCTGGGGGTCACTTTCTGTTACGGGTTTCCTGCTGGCAGTTCTTTCTTTCAAGATCCCACATTCTAGGATCCTGGAGATCCACGGCTGCCCGTAGTGAACCCTGGCTGCTACCAGACAGGCTTCCTTGGTCCTCAGGTAATCTCAGTTCACTCTGATGGGCCCGGATGCAGATTCAGTTTTGTTTATCCCACTTGGGGCTTGTAGGCCTTCTTGAGTCCATGGATCAATGTCCTTAGTCTATTTTTTTTTTTAAGATTTTATTTATTTGAGAGAGAGAGAATGAGAGAGAGAGAGCACGAGAGGGAAGAGGGGCCGAGGGAGAAGCAGACTCCCTGCTGAGCAGGGAACCCGATGCGGGACTCCATCCAGGGACTCCGGGATCATGACCTGAGCCGGAGGCAGTCGCTTAACCGACTGAGCCACCCAGGCGCCCTCCTTAGTCTATTTTGGAGAAATATCTGCCATTATCTCTTCAAATGTTGCTTTTGACCCATTCACTCCCTCACCGACTCCTGATACCAAATACTAGAATTTTTCCATGGATCCTTTATGGCCTTGCTACTCAAAGTGTCCTCTAACACCGACAGGACCGATACTACCAGGCAGCTTTTAAAATGTCAGAATCCAGGGGGCGCCTGGGTGGCTCACTCGGTTAAGTGTCCGACTCTTGATTTCGGCTCAGATCGTGACCTCAGGGTCGTGACAGAGCCCCATGGCGGGCTCCACACTCAGCAGGGCGTCTGCTGGAGATTCTCGCTCCCCCCTCCCTGCTTGTGTACTCTCCCTCTCTCACAAAAGAAAAAAAAAGTTAGAATCGAGGCATCCCCAGGGGCCCAACAAATTGGAATGTACATTTAAACAACACCCCCAGTGGTTCACGTGCCATCAAAGCCTGAGAAGGACTGGCCTCCATCGTGTACCCTCTCTTTCCATTTACCTCACTATCTGCACTTCATTCCAGGTAACCTCTTAACTTTTTCACTGATGCAGAAAACGCCATACAGAAAAGTGCACAAAACACCAACCCAACGCTCAGTGCATCATTACAAAGCAAATATTCACGTTGCCACCCAAGTTAAGAAATGGGATGTTGCCAGAGCCCCACAGGCTCCCCTCCACCCCCTATTTCGGTGTGATTCCACTGTCCATCCCGCTATGAAACCCACCCACCGAGTTAACCTTTGTACTCAGTGTTTCTATTCTGGAATTTCTACTTGGTTCTTTTCCAAATCGGTTCCATCATTTTTCATAGCTTTGAGCTCTGAAACCCTCTCCCTAAACTACAGGGGTTTTAGCGTGTAAGGACTGCAGTACCTTGAGCACGTACTCTCTCATCTCTCCCGTACCTAGTTAGCTCTAAGTGTGTGCTGGACACTGCATTTCAAAGCAAAAATAACATGCGGCCTCGGGTGCCATTATCTTTCCCAGGAAGGATTCTCCTTTACTCCTCCCAGGTGGCCGGGGTGCCGGGCTGCAGGCAGGTGGAGCACGGCGGGCCTGCAGAGCCCAGTTTGGGCCCAGTGTAAGGGGAGGCCCAGGGCTCCGCTCTCGCCGGCCCGGCACTCCAACCCCTCCCTGGGCCGTCAAAGGCCTACAGCCTCTCAGCTGCCTTGGGGGAAGGGTCTCCAGGGCAAAGTTGCCACAGTATCGGCGACTCCATCTGATTCCGGCTAAATCTCCTGAATCTCGGTCTAGACATTTTTGTTCTGTCTCCTCTCTGGGGTTATCCAGCAGATGTACGCCTCCTACCTTTACTATCCTTCGCAAAGAAAGGGAAGCACATGGTCTACCGCTCCCAGAGAGAACCTCAGTGGCCTCTTCATCTACGCAACGGATTCTCAAATGGATCTGGGGATGCCAATTACACTTATTCAGAAGTCTTCTTCAACAGCTGCACCGTGGTTTATGTGAAAACTGTTTCATCAGATGTTATTTTGTTTGCTGAGCTTAGTTCCTTTCCAGTCAGTTCTGTGCGCACGGACGTCTGCTCCTCCTGAACCCCGGGACGCCAGCCTGCCCAGCCTTTCCAAGGTCTCCTTCCCCACAGGTGGGGACACTGCCTCCAGCTGAGAGCCACTTCCCACACCTGCCACCTTACACCCACTTTCCTCGTTTCTCCCGGCCAAACCCTCCCAACGCCCAAGAGTCACTTCTAAATGGACATTCTGGTAACAGAGGCTTTTGGTGTCCCGGGCAAGTGCTCATGTTTGTCAAACGTGCCTCAGTTTCTCCTGAGTTGGGCCTTAGCTGGGACTTGAAACAAGGTAAGGAAGGGTAAGAATGCAGACGAGAGAAGGAACTGCAGGGAGGAGAGAGACTGCCAGCAAGCTCGGGGAACAGGAGAGCAGGGGCACATGAACTGAACCCACAGGCAGCCCGTGGCTGGGTCTCAGTGACGGTTCGGGAGGGGCAGAGACGGGGCTAGGGAGACAGACTGTTGCAGGCAGCTGAGCTGGAGAGGAGGAGCCAGGGGACCGGGCCACAGAATGACGGCTTGTTCTGCCACATGGAGCACCCAGCTCCAGCCGCCACCCATCACAGTGGTCACAGCACCAGAGTGTCCGTGACCCTGGGAGACAGCTAGGACCTGCAGAGATTCCCAAGAGCCAGTCACTCACCAGCAGGAAGGGGCCCTCTGGATGGTCACAGGCCTGCAACGCAGAGGAGTACGTAGGCAGGGAGAAGGAGGCCCACTCCCTCCCATTCTCTGCTTTCCACACCTTGATCAGGCCCAGCTTGTCCACGGTGACGACCAGCTGCAGCCGAGGGTAGGTCACCAAATTCACCAGAGCAGCAGGCTGCAGGGGGCTTGACCAGATCTCTGTGCCCTGTGCAATGACAAAAGGAAAATAACAACTTATACGGGGGCCATTCATTTCATAAACATATGACCATCGCCTAGCGCACACGGGGGACGCACGGGTGGAAAAGGCACACACCCCACGCTCACAGGAGCCACAGTGTGCTGTGGAGCACGACACGGAAGTGGTGTTTTGGGGCACAGCAGTGGCAGAACTGGGGGTGTACGGAAATTCCCAAGCACTGGCACCACCAGGACTGCACGGGGAGGAGGGGGAGGCGCGGCAGTGTGCACACAGTGGTTGCCCCCAGCTCCACCAAGGCAGGCTGGGCAGGGAGCTGGGGCCTGGGCCACACGCTGCATACAAACAACTTACATGTGCAGCATCTCCCTCAGGCCCCGGCAACCCCATTTTACAGATTAGCTAACTCAGGCTTGTGGGTAAGAACAGTTCACGTGGCATGTCCATGTTGTCCTGCTTAAAACACCCCCTTTCCTGGGAGAGGCCCTAGCCAAGGCCCGAGCTGGGTGATTCCATGGTCTTTCCCAGGAGTGTAAAAACTGGAACAGGTGGGAAAGAGCCGATGCCGGTGGGCTAAGGGCACCTGAAGACGGGACACCAGAGAACCATCCGTGACGTTCCGTTCCCAGTCTCCCAAAGCCGCCACCTGGGCATCCGTTCCCATTCTGGGTCACTATGACCCTTTTTCTATCATGTGTTCATTTTACCATGCTCTGGATCTCTTTTTCCAACCAAGATACTCAGGATTCCTCTATGAGATCCTTTCTCAGTTGATTTCTGTTGCTCGAGCAGCCAGGTGATGCGGAGGGATGGCAAGGAGTCTCGGGGAACAGAGCACATTCACTAGGGTTAGTGAAGGAGGCGTGAGACTCCCTCCTGGTTTCGGAGTGGAAGCGGAGGTCGGGGGTCGGAGCACAGAACACACTGGCCAGTGACTGCTGGGCAACACGCCTGCCGCAAGAAGGAAGTGGGCTGTGGTGGCACCAGGACTCTGATGCCAGAAACAGACGAACTCAAACCCTAGACTCTCCAGGGACAGTGGATGACACGTGGCATGGAAAGCCAGACTGGAAACAAATATAACCAGTCAAAAGCATGGTCTTAAATACTGTAAGTGGAAACTAAGATCATTTTTGAAAAGGAGGATTTACTGGGGCATCTGGGTGCTGCAGTCCGCTGAGTGTCTGACTCCTGGTTTTGGCTCAGGTCGTGATCTCATGGGCCGCGGGATCGAGCCCCACAATAAGCTCCACACTCAGCAGGGAGTCTGCCTGAGATTCTCTCCCTCTCTGTCCCTCCTGCTCGCATGCGCACGCTTTCTCTAAAATGAATAAATAAATCTTTAAAGAAAAAAAAAGGAATATTTATTAACTTTAGGAAAAGCCAAATGTTAGTTTGCCTCATAGCTCAGTGTGAAAAGCACTCACACAATCACAGTACCACTAACCATACAGATAACTCTTTGGGGACAGGAAGACTGCTCTGTGTGGACGTGGAAGGAGGAAGGGGGGGGTCGTTTCCTACGGGAGGTTTGCTCGTGAAGAGTACTAAGGTTGTGCAGCCAGGCACGGTGTGTGCAGGTGGCTCTGGACTCTGAAAGAGGCTCATGCTGGCAAAACAGACCACACGGAAGTAGAGCTCAGCAAATCACGGCCTTCAGCCAAACCCAGCCCACTGCCCATATTTGTAGTTTAAAAAAAAAAAAAATCAAAAGATGATTTCACAGCACATGAAAATATGTGCACCTCACATGTCAGTGTGAGTCGCTAGCTCTGTCAGAACAGGCCACTCTCCTGTTTGCTTTCTGCTCCTGCATCGAGCCCACAGAGCTGGGGGGTTACACAGGGACCACAGGGCCCTTGACGGGAAACGTCTGCCGAGCCTGTACCCAACTGCTCTCCCCGTTCAAGTCGAGACCTGATCATCTGGGCAACTCGAGGGCCTCCCAGGCGCCATGTCTTCTTCTGCCAAGCCCCCACCCTGAGCCCACGTGGCCAGGTGTCCGCAGCTGATGCAGGTCCTACAGAGAGGCCACAGGAAGGCGGGCAGCCTCCCACCCCAGCAACAAGACCTTCCTGTGAAATGACCCTCAAATACTGCCTCGTAGGAGGAAAACCAAGCTTGAGAAGAGGAAACTAGCATCAAAAACCGAAAACTTGGCCACAGAGTAGAGAGAAACGATGCAAACAACTTTGTACCCTTTAAACAAAAGAGCATGGGGGTAAGAACGGGCTCCTGGTAACAAAGGAAGTTTCTGCAAAGCAGGCAGACAACACAGACTCTCTGAAGCATGCGGATGGAGGAGCAGACTCCACTAACGTAAAGACGGATGAATTGACAGCCGCCAGGAAGATGAAGACTGGACAGGACGGAACAGGGGTCGCCTCTGGGAAGAACCGCTGAGGAGAGCAGGCAGGGGAGAATTTTTTCACTCATGAAATATCTCCCAGTCCTAGTTTCCAAAACCCTCAGCAGTGTTCTACTTTCATGATTCAAAAGCAAAATAAATTGTAACTAACCGCAGTGCATCCCTCATGTGCCCCTGCCCGGTGCCCCCTCCTCCCACTCCGAGCCCCTGCCCCGGCTCCTGGGCCCCTCACGACCGAGGCTGCAGCCCAGCTGGGACTTTCAAGACTCCTTCAGCACCTCCGTGCCCAGCAATGGCCTCAGGTGGCCTCTCAAGTGCCCCCGCGTGACCAAACGGAGCACACACCCGCTCTCTCCCAGACTCTAACGTGACGTCCGGGCAGAGCAGTGACCCCACAGCTGGCACGGGGGTGGCAGGACGCAGCTCCCAGCAGCCTGCTTCCCTCGCACACTAGCGAGGAAGGCCCAGGTCTCGGTCAATGTGCTGAGAGCCAGGGTGCCCTGTTCAAAGCGGCCAGGGAAATCCGGGGAGCCCCCTCTGCTCTCTGCGCGAACTGGGCACTTCCAGCAGAGCTGGCCAACAGCGACACGAGGAGGCTCCCCACTTAACGTAGCAAGGACCCACAGGTGCCTTTGCTTGTCCAGGGCTCTCAAAAACATGAGGTAATCTGTAGTTTCCAGGAAAAAGTCCTAGAGAGGAGGTTGGGTTCTATGTGTGCAGAGCCCTTGGATTTACAGGAAACCACACAGTTCAGGACTCAGAGACACTTCCCTCTCTGTCTCAGACTGATCGTCCATAAAATCAGGGTGATAATAATGCATGCTTTGCTCAGCTGCGGTGAGAATCAATGAGGAAATGGACTGCAAAGCTTTTTAACAATAGTGACAACCAAGTGTGAAATACCAGTTATCAAAGTCTCAACACTTTGCTGGTATATGGGGGTAACTAGAAGGGGCAACTGTTTGGGCAAAGCACCCCAGACTGGGCATTAGCTCCAATGTGGACACCGCGGGGCCGGGGGCAGGTGTTGGCTGTGTGGCCGCTGCCACAGGCGCCCACCTTCCCGAGGCAGGCCGCTCAGAGTCAAGGGCAGATCTGGCTCCATCTGTGATCAGACCGGAGTTCTAAGTGTAACCCGGCCTGTTGCAGCTCAGAGATCTTGTCTATACCATGGGGATCCCACCACCCGGTAGCTGCCCCCGGGGGCTGAACGAGCTAGTGAAGGGGAAGAACCTCACTAGGATCCTGTGAGTCGCACCCTGGCCCCTCCACTCGGCTCACCTCCTGCACATCCCAGGCACGCACTGTGCTGTCCGAGGACACGGTGCACACCACTGACTTCTCCTGCCCATCAAACCGGCACTCGTTGGTTGATATGTAGGCCAGCTCGTCTATGCCTCCTGGAAGAGAACAGAGACTGGCCTTGAACGCACACCGTATGTCTGGGATGCGGACATGCAGACTGGGGAAGGACCAGCGGGACACTCCTTCCTCTTTCTCTCTTGGGAGCACACAGGCGCTCCTTAGGGGACAGCTGTGGCCATAGGGCTTCACACCCAGGACTGCCCCCTCCCACCAGCCACGTGGCCACAAC